TCCAGAGTCCTCCTACTCTTGCAGCCGGCCCCTGTTGCTGCAGTTTGATGTCTTAAGTCGAGTTAAGGCTTCCCTCCTTTGTTCTTCCTGCTTTATGGCTGTAGGTTTTCATTTCCCTGCCCCTGCACCTTGGCTAGGCCACAGGTGTAGAAAAGCTTGTGGAGGACTTAGGTAGAGATGGTCTTTTCCTGTCCGAGAGAAGAAAAGGGGATTTTGCAGTAGCCCACTGTGACGTTCACCCGCTCTTTTCCCGGCACTGCAGCGTGAACAGAACTGTGGAGGCAGGGAGGGAGTCATCTGTGCCATGTGTTAGTTGTTAATTTTAGCTTTACCATAACTCTTGACGACAGGACTTGGTTGTTTCCTACTGTAGGCAGCATGTAGCAGTTATCCTGGAGATACGGTGTGGCTGTAAGACAGTAAAGCTGCGGCTCATCCCTGAGCCGTGGCATGCTGTCAAGGAGCGCGATAGCCAGATTCTCTCTTCTGACTCAGCTGCTGCGTACTGAAGTTGAGGGGCCATATGGTAACATTTTTCTGGCCTTTGTGCTAAACTTTTGACTTCAGGTTAAGTGAGGATGGCATGAGGCAAAGGCTGAGTTCCACACATCTGAGGACAAAGCTTGACCAAAAGGTGGTTATGTATCTGCCATTATACGTACTCCATTTAACCTTTGCCTACTGCCTTTTTCCCAATTCTGGGTACCTGGTGAAGTCTGAAGTACCAGCCTGTACTGGCATGGTCAAAAGAGCGCCCCAGAATTTGATGTGCAGGTCCCAAACTGATCTTCTAATGTGTAGGCTGCTACAGGGAAGTCACAGAAGTACATTATAGCATGCTGAACAAAAAATCCTTATAGCTTTAATACCTTCTCTAGGTTGTTGCCAATGCCTTTGCTTGTTGTAATGCATTGCATTTGTTCTCTTGAGTCTGGAGTAAAACAATTGACTATATCAGAAAATACTTGTCTTGATTTCTCCTGGTGCTGATATTAGCATTTTGCTAATGCGTGAGTTACCCAGACAGCATTGTGCTTCTGATGGCTGTGTTGCCCTGCAGTGCTGGAGGCTTGCCTGGGTTGTGTCCAGGTGGTGTTCTGACTGACACAGCCAAGCTCAGTGAAGTGGACTGCTTAAAGGTGTGGGGAGCGCTGGCAATGTGCCGCAGCTAACTCCAGTGGGGAGTCTCTGGGAGCTCCTTCTCTTTCTAGCATCACTCTTGTTCATGGTCTTTTACTGTGGTCCACGGAGTATTTGTTCAGTCTCTACTCTTGTGTTTGGTTAAACACTGTGTGAGGATGCAAACATCTCTTCACCGCAGCGAAGGAGCACTGTGACACTGTGCTCCTGCTCAGCTAACCTTTATGCAAACTTTGGGTATATGCAACTTCTTATAACATCTTTTTCTAGCTGAAGAGGGACACCAGATCTGCAGGAGAGCTGATGACCTGGGTTGGAAGTGCAACAGCTGATGAGTTAAAGAACTGGAGGCACAGTTGGCTACTTAGAATAGAGGTGTCAGGAGGGACAAGGAGTTGTACAAAGGCTGAAGCAGTTGATCTGAAGTCATGTCAAGTGAAGTGTCAGAAACAAGACATGCTTGCTCTGTAATGGAACATTCTTCATAGGTGGTTTAACAAGCTTTGGAATTAAATCGGGGTTTAAAAAAAAATAATGATGTAGCTGTTATGTCAGGGCTTTCACAAGCTTGCAGTGTGCAGTCTGGGCTGTGACTGGTGGAAAACAGCCATGTAATCAGTGCTTTTCCTAGGCAGTTATGAGCTCACACTATACTCACACCACAGCTGCATATATATTTTCCAAAATACACTTTTGGAATTATACATGCACTGTTTTAGTATGCTAATTGTCTCTGTGGTTATTCATTCCTGCAGTTAATGACTAGTCTCTTAGAGAAAATGAGTTAACAAACTGACAGCTGCTCATAACAAATCACTTGCTGGAGAGGCCAGTGTAAGTTTAACATCCACAATAAATCCTTCTTTTGCTTCTGATGGTTCAGTGGAGCAATGGCAAAGAAATGAGGCAATAACTTCATTTATCAAAGCAGTTCACGGCTGCACTGGATTTGTGCATGAGAGCTCATAGGCAGAAATGCCAGAGAATTACAGACTCTGGATTTCTGCTCCTCTTTGAGCAATATTAAGTGTAACGAGGAAAAGGTAGAGCTCTCAGTGTATAGACTGTCAATAGCCGCCGGTCCCAGGTGCATGGTTGGCATGAAAAGATGGACAAGAAGGGTGCAGATAGCTTGGGGAGTTCTGAAGGGCTCTCTTCTGGCTCCAGTGCCAAGAGTGAACTGAAATGTCATACCAAAACCTGATGCAGAAGTAACACATTGCTCATTTCTGGTGTGAGCCCCATGTTCTCTGTGGGCCAGGAGGGACCAGGGTTATTGCAGAGCTCATGGTGTGTGATGAGACAGAGCAGGTTTGTGGATGCTGTGCCGCTGCTGAGAGTAATTCCTGCAGCTGCTGGCTGGTGGGACGCCTTTTCTGATCATACTGTCTACAATAATCAATAACCATCTTTCATCAGCAGTTAACCATTAACTCCTGGCAAATAGCAGACCTTTTTCGTAACCTTTTGTTACAAATAAATAAATAGATGTAACAGCCTTGGATAAGGCAACAAATATTCTGAAATTCCCATTTCCTGTGTTGGAGCTGAGGACCAGCATTTTCTTAACACTTTGTTTGCAATGAACTGATGGATCTAGCTGGCAGCTAGTTTGTATTGCAGGTTTAGCTTGGGACATTGGTATGTGATAATATTATAGTTCCTGCCTCACTGAAATCAGGTTTAATTTGTTTTTTAAATAATTTATTATTAATAGACTTACTGTTTTTTAAAATGCTTGTTTCATTTGACAGATATGCTTATGATCCAAAATGGCAACATTGTGCCAGGATGTTGAAAGGGTAATCTCTCTTCATGATTTGAAATGAGAGAGTTAAAGGTATAAAGACCAAAAACCCCATGATTTAATGAAAGGTCTTTCCATTTCAGTATTTGAATCAGTAGCATGGGAAGATTGTTTTCTTCAAATATTTTTATTTTTTTAACTTGACAGTATCCCATTTAAACTGATCACACTACACAGCTGATGCAGGTGGCTGTGTTAATGCTGCACTGAACTGAAACAGTTTGGTTTCAGAAACGGTGTTTAAAATGTGTCTTGAATAGCTGGGATTGGGGGGCAGAGCTACTCATGGGCATCGTGTTGTCTATGACTGTTTCTTCATCGAGAGCCCGGATGAAGTCTCAGCTGTATCACTGGGTACTGCTCTTCTGCCAGCTTTGCTCATCTCCATACAGCTACCTGCCAGGGACAGATGGCATTTTTTTCTCTCTGGTGTGGCAGCTTAGGCCAATTCATATACTAGGAGTGAATAAAAGCAAAACCTATGGAAACTGAACTGAGAAACTGAGACACCCAGCACTTTGTTAGCTTAACTTTGTTCTTTCTGCTATTAAAGTTTCTACCAGTTTGTAATATGTTAATTCTGCCCCCCCCCCCCCCCCGCCCCCGCCCCC